CAGTAATGTCATTTTCTGTCCGTAAGGTGCTATCTCCATTATTGTCGCTGGCATGAGAACTCCTTGCACTATTGCTTCCTCTTTGTGACATTTTAGAAGGACCATGAAGTTTTAAGTTTCAATAATTCAACGATGTTTTGGTAAAAGAGCAACATCAAGCGTTTCCCAAGCCGCCATTTGTAAATTGTGGCATAATTACGTGGTGTAACGATCATGTAGTGTTTTGAGTGGTTTTGAACCATCTTCAGGAAAGGTCCTTTAGTAACAACATAACACTATATGATTGTTACACCACGTATTTAGTGACTGTGACTTGATTCCAGATTTCCGCGGGACAATCGTAAAAATGGCGGGAACATGTTGGTTTTCTGTGCGAGGTTGTAACATAACTATGGTTGGAATGAAAATGGAGGAAATAGCAAAAGCTGCTCTCAACTTGCTCGTACAAGAAGAATTATCCAACAAGGATCCAGCTCACAGCACCTGGTCTCTTAGCTCAGCTGGTCTGGAAGTTTCGAGTTCAAATCCACGCCGGGGTGTTTTTCTCTGTAGTTCCGAAAACCTCCTATCTAGACAGTACTGGGTGTTCGTCCTTCTACAGTAAATGGGAATAGTGCCAGCCAACAAACAGGACTCTTAGATTAAAGAGGGGTCTCCCAAACCACATCAAGAGAGACACTCTGGTCAGGATGGTCCAATAACTATTTCTCATAAGATACCAGCCCAGAATCCAGGGAGTGTGGGGAAGGGCAGTGTCATTCTCGAGTTTCTCCCTTCCTTTCCCCGGTATGTTTGGTTTCACGTTTTGTCAATCTTTTTACCAGCATTACCAGCTCAGAGTGCAACATATTCCGAGTACGAGATTAACCTTCTGCTTTTCTAACTTGGCTTGGAGGTCATAAAATATCTAGAAATTGCCCCTCCCCGTCCCCCTCCCCTCGTCCAGTTTGCTCCCGAGTCAGTTTACAATTTTGCGTGACTGACTCGAACGTTACTTTGCTCCTGGGTCAGGGTCTTTCAAGGCGAAGTTTCTCAATTAAAACTGGGTTGAATTAAAAAAACGTACAATTCGCATTCAATGAGACTCAAGAGCCGTTAGCTGGTGCGAGAGGCCGTCCCGCCCCAATTAGCTGTCCCTTTCCTTGTACGTCTCCGCGACGACTTTTTAGTTGATTCAGAATATGAAATCGAAGATAAGTTTTAATATTCTCTATCAGGGGTAACAGAGTTTAGTGCGTTGAGATTCAGACAGGAAAAAAACACAGCACTGATAACTTTCGGAAGTGGGAAACGTTAACAAAACATTAAAAAAACAGTGATAAAGATAACGCTTCCAAGGCAAATTAAGATCACCACAACATTCATTTTACAGTGAACCATTTAATACATAAAATTTGTTGTTTTCAGTTTTTTTCCCTTTCAAGCTCCGTGTTAACGTGTTGACCAAGGTAGATGTTTCTACTTTATCTAAAACTCAGAAGCTAAACGCGCGACGAACGAACGAACGTCATTAATTTTACTCTAAATATTTACAGATTTCTTTGAACGCTATACGACATTTTACCTCTTAACTTATCAGAAACCTACCATCTTTTCTGCCTGGTCAACCAAAAACAAAACCAAACCAAAATAAAACAACGCAATTTTGTCAGCCGCAAGTCTTAATTGGCGACGCAAGTATTGACTCGTATTAAGACTCAATTTTCCCCTGTCGAGTAGGCTGTCCACGCCTGAATTTTAAAAAGTTCTTCATGATTACATCACTGAAGAGTGACCGTTACAGCACATGAACCCGACTCCGTTGCATCAACAGCGATCAGCGGCTGCGGCGATTGTCAGTATCCAAATACTGGGCGAAATAAACCATTCCTGGCATTCAGGAAGTAACATGATCAGGCTCCAGTCCATTTTCGTATCTTCTCCAGACTTTGAGAAGAAGACCTTCAAGGCTGTGGGTATACTGCCTCGTGTTGAAGAGCGGACTGCGAAGGCGAGCGTTCCAGACTTTATCCTTCACTCTTTTTAGGCTGAAAATAGAGAAAAGAAATCGTCTAAGCTACTGCTGCACGTTTAAGGAGCTACGTCACGGTATGCGCATCTTCAAAGTTAGGCCTAAATTTTTCAAGTTCGTCTTTTGTTATCCGTGTTAATCTTCTATATCCTTAACCATCCTTGTTCCTTTATGGTTTATTATTATCTCTGTAGTGTTTTTCGTTGTTAGTAAGCTGTTATTTTCAGGTTTCCTTCAATTTAAAGGTTATTTTGGACGTGGACGAAATAACTCAAAACGCTGTGATTGAGCTTCTTCACACTATCAACACCTACTAAATACCCATTAAACAGGACAAAAAGCCGTTCTTTCTCGGGTTAATGCTTGTAGCACGGGACCTTCCTGGTGAGAATAAATTAATACTTATTACAGTGCTTCCTCGTACAAAGCACTTACTAGTTCGCATCGTTTCCGAGTCTGATAGCGATGTTTTCGTAATCTTCTCGATTTCTTGCCACAAGCTCCGGACAGCCAAGAGCTGACAGCTGAGAAGAGGCTACTCGAGAAGCTAACGTTTCAAGCGGAAGGGTCACCATAGGACAGCCGGCCCACAGGACATCCATCCCTGTTGTGTGACCATTGCACAGTGGGGTGTCTAGACAGACGTCAGCCAGTTGGCCGCGACGCACATGCTCTTCCTTAGGTGCGACTGGCGAGAAGACAATACGCTCTTGGGACAGTCCCATAGCCATGGCCTGTGCCTTGAGGTTCGGTTCCCCTACGGCAGGAAATCTCAGTAACCACAGCACGGAGTTGGGGACGTGTTTGAGGATATTCACCCAGCTACGCAATGTCGGTGGGTCGATCTTGTACAACTGGTTAAAGTTGCAGTACACTGTGGCCGTCTCTGGCAGGCCGTAATGAGAGCGCGTGATTATGGGTACGGTTGACGGGATGCGCTCACCGCTGTCCTTGCAACCGGAGTACTCTTTCTTCTTCTCCTCGATCAGCGCGCCGACTTTAGGAGCGAGGTTTGGATCGTTCTTCTCATCGTCCAGCAGCACAGCAGCAGCATGAGCTGGTACTAGTCCGTTTTGCGTCACCTCAGCGATGACTTGGTTACTGGAGGCTCTCAGGTATTGTATAAGGTGTGGAAACATCTGTTTGTGATCACCAACAAAGAACGTGTGTGGCATGTATGCGAGCTTCTCAGAGTACTGATCGGCGAGTTCCAGGGGTGAGGTAACTTCATCTGTGATGATGTAGTCCATGTAAGGGGCACCACTTGTGCCTGGATACCCCAGCCACATTACCTGCAGGTGGAGCAAGAACAAGTGGAATAAGGCCAAAGTTTACAACCTCGCATTCACTCCAAACATGTGTGCACGTTTGAACAAACTGCTGATTATTTGAAGGAACACATTTCTGCCACCATAAGTAAGAATGAAAACCACTTTTCGAGCTGATTCTATATAATTATACACCTCAAGGATAAACTGCCTCCTGCCTCGACAAACAATTCTGTTTAAAGTGATTACAGAACCCTAACGCAAATTTTTTTCTTTTACCTGGACTGGAGCAGGGCGAAGGGCAAATATTTCATTTCTGGCTCCTTTCGTATAACCATTCATGTTGACAAGCACATGAATGCCATCAGCATTAATACGATCAGCAGCTTCTCCGTGGCAAGGGATAGAAGATAGATCAACGAAATGCTCTGAATCTCCCTCAATCTTCCTTCTGAAACTGGTGCCATCATCAGCCGTCAGAGCATAGCAAAAGATCTGAAGATGAACAAAGTACATGAGCGGGAGATAACACCCATAAATAATGCTAGTCTGAAATGTTAGCCATCTCTTGCCCATAGCCTAATCCCTGGGAGACAGACAGGGGATTAGGCTGAGGGCGGAAGATGACTGACATTTCGGGCTAAAGTAATGCAAGATAACAATTCATTTCAACTGCAGAGATCCTTAATTAAATGCAAATTCAACAGCAAAGGGTACAACTACTTGTGTCCTGATTCTCTGCAGAGAGTTTTCTGGGTTGAATAAGGAAGAACAGGAAACCATATTTGTAACAGACTCTACACAGAACTCTTGGAGAATGAACACCAAGTTACCAACCTCAACTCTACTACTGTCATGAAATCCAGGAACACTTTGCATCAGATGTGAGGTAGGATGATTTCCAAAATCACTGGAAACGTAGCCTATTCTCAGTCTCCCACCACTTTCCTTCAACGACTTGGGATACGAGTATGGTGGCTTGTGTAAAAGAGCAACCTTAAAAAAAAACACACACACAAGGTAGGGTTAAAAATTCCTTCCACTTTTCTTTTTTCCCTTCATGAACCAATCCAATCCAACTATGAAAGCAACATGCAGCTGACTGATAAAACAAAACAAACACATCAGAGTGGTTTTCAATTGAGTGTACCTACTTGTAAAACTAAAACCAAACCAATTAGTTACCAATTAGACTACTCAACCAATCTCAAACCGTAGTAAAACCAAAACCAGAGTAGTTGCCTGATTCCTTTTGACACTCAGTTGAAAACTGCTCTAAGAATGTCTTCAAATATAAGCTACTAGTGTAAGAATACCTTTTCAACACATAGATTTCCATGTCTGTTAGCAATGTCTCTTCTCATTTTGTGTGTAAGTGGATACAGCATACTGTGATGAGGGTGCACAGATGGCAGTCGATTGTTTTCCAACTGGTCTGCCACAATAGACACTAGTTTCTTCATGCGCGACTCATAATCTGTCCAGTCACAGATTATCTGTCAGAAAACAAAACAAAATTAATAAATACAAATTTTTTGTCGTAAACTTGTAAAGTGCACCCTTATTTGTAAGTGAATGTATGAAAGATCCCATTCAAGCCTGAATTTTTTTCAGTCTTTAATTTCACTGCTGCTTAGGTTGTGAACATACATGTAACTACAATGATCATTCATGTCTTTACATCCTTATTTATAACTAAACTACATCTTGCAGGCATTAACTCTTGTTTTGGCATCTGATTCGTGAGGCCTTAAGTAGCACTATGTGCTATACAATATGTTGCAATTCCAGCTGTAATGCACAGACATCCTCTGATTAACAGACAGAAGGACATACAGATGTATCAATTTTTTGTGTTATCACAATGCAGTGTAGGCAGGTTACCTGTAAGCAATGTGCAAGGTTACAGTATGCATCGGGAAAGCTTGGCTTTAACTTCAATGCTGTCCTGTAAGACTGGATTGCCTCAGGAATGTTGCCAGAATCCTAATGGTTACAAGAACAAAATGGAAGGTCAACATTGCATGCCATAATTATTGTTCCAAAAGATAGTAGTAAAGCAACCTGCCAAACACTTACAATATCATTTTGCTACATTGTGTTCCTTTGTTAACTCACAAGTCTATCACTGGCCAACTACACAACAAAAAGACAAGATACTTATCAAATCACTACGGTTTGCAAAGATCAGCTCACCTTATGAACAGATGCTAGGTTACTGTGAGCATCGGCAAATGCTGGGTTGATCTGTATAGCTCTTGTGTAACACTGAATGGCTCCCTGAATGTCTTGCATTTCTTTGAGTGTGTTTCCCATGTTAGAATAGGCATCAGCAAATGTAGGATGAATCCTATGAAAGGATTACAACATTGACTGAAATTAATCAGAATGTCCAACATGGAAAGAAGAACAAGGTTTGGATCGCTTGTGCTCCAGCTAAGGTCTAAGGACTAAGGACTACGTCAAGAGAAATCTTTATGACAAAGACAGAAAAAAAAAAAAATACAGAGAAAACTAAACTGTTTTACCTGATGGCTTCTTTGTAATGCAGTAGTGCTTCATGAAGTTTCCCCTGTTGTTGCAGAACACTTGCAAGATTTGAGTGAGCAGCAGCAAATTCAGGAAATATCTACAAGACAAGTTACAGCAAATCAGTTTTATTTTAAAACTTAATTTACTTAAAGCGGTACTATGACGAAAACCGCATCTTTCCTATTGAAGCCATTTTATAACATAATTAAGGTGGCTCGCTATAGTTTTACGATCGCACGAGCGCTGAGGAAGTAATCTGTGCATGCTCAAGGGAAAACGTCAGTGTTTTTCGATATTTTATTACGTCAACATGAGCACAAAAAGCTAAACTGTGTGTAAATTTTCTCGCGTTTCCTTCGGTGAAATTCCGTTAAATTTGGCAGATTGGTAGTAAATATTTTATTTTAGTCGGAGCTCATTTTTCAGGGAAATCTACAAGACCAGATTTTTTGCAGCGGTAAAAGACAAATTTGAAAATATCGAAAAAACTGCCTTTACAAACCCTACTTTTTGCATGTTTAAAATTCGTATCCCACTGGAAGTTATGTGATGTAAAAATTTTGGAAGATTTCATCGAAGGAAATTCATGAAAATCACAAATAAAGCCATAAAAACAGTAAAAAACACATTTGCTTGGGCATTTATAATTCAAGACTAAATCCCAAAATTTTAACAGAGATGATAGCCAAATACTATTTAATCATTGCTTATTACATGTAATAAGTTTGAGAAGACTAGGTGTAAAAATGAATCCAAAAACAGTATTCAAAACATGACACTTGCACACACAATGCCATAAATGATTACCCTATGGAGACACCTTAAGTAGCCTGTATGAGAAGAAAAATGCTGTTAACTATTTTCAAATATCTCTTTTCGTTCCAGAGATATTCAAGTTTTTAAAATACACAAATTAGCCAAGTGATGACATCATACACTCAACCACATTTTGATCAAATATGATGAAAAAAGATATCTCATCCAATTTCAATCAGAAATGTTCGATTCTTCGCAGTAAGATTCTTCTAAATGTGCTCCACAATACAAGCCTAACAGTTATATTATCATGGCAATGTACTGGCTTCCAGACTTTCCCAATATTAAAGGCATTTCTGGCTACCTTTGCTGTTCCATTTTGATGTTTGCAAATGGTGCCTCATATGCATGATCCAGCAAGCATATAAATATGTTAGCTCAAATTTGTGGCCTTGTTTAACATTTTTCGAGCTGAAAATCACTAACATATTAAAATCAAGTGGGTGGGGACTGGAAAGAGTGAGTTGCCATGGCAACAGAATTTTCTATAGCCATAGGTGTGTTTCCTGTAGAACTGTTAGCCTACCAAAGTTACAATAGTCTGTGCTGCAAATTGGCCAAGATAGGTCTATTTATTTACTTGATATAGTATTGGGTTGAGTGTATGACATCATCAGTCATCTCATTTGCATATTTTTCACATTTTTCAAACTCAAATATCTCCGGAACTAATGCAGATATTTGCAAACCGTAAACAGCATTTTTATTCTTTCATGGAATCCTATGTGATACACCTAAAAAATCAAGGGGTAAAAATTTTATCATAGTACCACTTTAAAAGGCGAACAAATTACAGACATACCTCTAAAGCTTTGCAGTACAACCTGACAGACTCCTCAATCTTTCCTTGCTCTCTCTTGATGTTCGCTAGGTTGTTGAGGGAATCTGCGTGGGTAGGACATAATCTTAAAGCAGTGTTGTAGCATTCTTCTGCTTCAGATACCTGGGGGAAAAATACACCATGATTAGCAATTAAAAAAGGTAAAATAACAACATTTGGCACACCACACAGCATTACTTCATTTTGTGAAATGCACGGACATGTAAAGTCATTTTATTGCAGCAATTCAAAAGTTTGCATCAATGGGTTTTTAACTCAAAGGGAATGAAGATGATTGCTAACCTTTCCTTGTTCCTTCAAAGCATTTGCAAGATTACAATAGGCATCTGGGAAGTTTGGTTGAAGTTCAATTGCCCTTCTGTACGTGTCAACTGCCAAGTCAATAAGTCTGCAAGAACAAGATGAAACAGATCATTATCATAAACAAGCACTTAAAATCTTCCATTAGACAAATGCACATTACAACACCTCAAAACACTGCCTGTTAAGCTCACCCTTGTTCATAATAGACACAGGCCAAGTTTCCGTGGACAACGGCATGATTGGGGCTCAAGTTTAAGGCTCGTAGGTATGCAGCAACAGCTCTGAAATAACAAAAGAGGAAAAAGTAAGCCAATGATATTTCCATGGATAATAATTTAAGCACAATTTTTTTTTTTGTCAATAAAACACCAACCTGTCAAAAATCCTTGCCTCTTTTAAGACATTTCCAAGGTTGATATAGGCATCAAGAAAGTTTTGATCCAACTGGACAGCCTTCAATGGGAGAAAGAGATTCAAAAGATAAATCAATATTGTGGGTTAAATTATAAGTGTGAAATTATTACATAGCTGTTCTTTTATTATGTAAGTTACTGTTGACAGTTCTTTGACAGACAAAATTAATTCAGGATTAGTTCTTTTTCAGCTGAGTTCTAAGAATCTTTGTCAAGGCATTGGATGAGTACAATGTAATTTGCCTCTCAACTACAGTAAAAACCTGCATGTCAGAGCATACATTTTAGGTTCTTGTATTCTGGGTTAGTTATCAGCATTTTAGGCTAAGTAAGTTCTTAATTAGGTTCTTAATTTCCATGAAGGAGATGTAGTTGTTGATTACCAGAAAAGTAAATAAACTTGGGTTTGATCCTTTAATATACAGTATTTATTCACAACTGTGTTATGTATCTTCTTGAAACATACATTTGCAATCTCAAAGTTACACTTCTTGGTTAAAATAACTGTAACCCACATAGAAGAACCTGCTTGATCTTGCTTGGCTAAACAGGTTCTTATATTTTTTGGTCTTCTAATGGCAAATTTCTGCCAGCAGGTTCTTACACATGGATTTTCACTGTATGTTCTTGTAAGACACAATATTCTGTTTTCAGCAAGAATTACTGAAACTGCACACCAATTAAATTGTACTGCAAGCATTTTCTTGAGAGTTTGTTTAAAACGTTTACTGGTTCACTCATTGCACCCAGCAAATTCTTGTCAAATCAGCCTTACATGTGCAACTTGTGCACAAACTAATCTAGATCACAACAATTTAACTATGAACATTTACAACTAAGAAACCATATTTTTTACAACTTTTTACCTTCTCAAAGTGATGAATGGCCAACCAGATCTCTCCTTGAGCGTTGAAGACACAGCCAAGGTTACTCCAAGCCACTGCAAAACTGGGCTGCGTTTCTATCGCTTTCAAGTAGCACGCCTTTCAATTTAAACATGAGCAGCAAAACGGGGACAGCACAAAATGCCGGGAAAGGCACAGCAAGCAATAAGAAAGCAGCGGGCAGCAAGAGTAACAGCAGAGAGCAAGAAAAAATTCAAAGCAAAAACAAGAAATACACGAACACAAGCAAAACAGATTGCAATAGCAGAGAGCAAAAAGAGACAATCATGGTTTTGTTCTCATCCTTTGTAACAACGCAATATTATTCCGACATTTTTCACCAACAGTTTTGTTGGGCTCTTGTTTTGTCCTTTCTTGGCTGAAATGCAATGCTAGATTATAGTTTCCATTAGTTCACAGAACACCTTGTCCCTTTGTAGAAAGCACACGGTTGCCTTCAGAGAGCATGTGCAAGAGAAAAACAATCTTGACTTGCCTCAGCGCAGATAGTAAATAGAGATCAAAGAAGTAACATTGTGACACAAGTGTGTATCAAAATGATATTCCAAAACAGAAGATAATAAATTTGTCTACAGACTAGTTGTTCATGGCAACAGTCAACACAACTTTAAACTTAGCCACACTGGCAAACAGATTAAAATTTCACTCAGTTCTGTGTCAAAATGTTAGTTTACAACTTCTTTTACCTCTGCAAAAACAGAACCCAAAATGTCCAGTGATTGCAATTTACACTGCTTGCACTTGATATAACTGTGCATTTGTTTCAAATGAAAGCAGTGAGATGCTCAATAACTGGGCACATGAATCTATTTCAACAAAGCTTAAAGCTTCATTACTGTGAGGAGACAAGGCAAGACATTTGTTCTCCACACAAAACTGCGAGAAAAAGCTGTTCAAATTTGTGACCTTTGCCAAACCTTTTCCCAACCATGCTACGTACAGCTACGCTTTCAATCAGAAATTGTGCAACAAAGGCAACAGAGAGTTCGTACTAATTGGGACAAGGTGTTGAATGGATAAACTGTCGTTTTTCTTTCTTCCAAGGTATGAGATCAACCACATGACCAAGAGAAAAGGATGCAAGCAGCCAACTCAAGCCAGAAACAGGAGTTTTCAGGGCAACGCTTCATTTACTGACAATTTTGCCAAACAACTACTTGCAATCAGAATACAACCAAACTGTTTTTTTTTTTCCTGATGTGTTTTAACCGAGACATTTTGAATGGAAGAACTAGTTTGTAAGATGAAAAGCTGACTTGCAACTCCTATTTTTGTTTGAGAAGTCTGTAACAGCAAACTGGGCAAGCATGGTAGACAGGGAAAGCAAGTATGGGAAAGGGCCAAAGTCGTGCTTTGAGAAGTTCATCTTTCTGCAAATGGTTTCCCTTCAGCCGGTGTACTCCATCAAGACCGTACGTACCCTGTATAAGTTTACTGGGAGAGATAAATAAAAGGGGAAAACAAGGGAAGATTGAATGTTAGGGATCAAGAAACAACGTATCGAGGACCAACTGCTGATCACCGGTACTCTGCAAAGCTAACCAACACAACTGTGCCTTTGTTTGGAAATTTTTGCCAGCCAACAGAATCTGACATCTCAATAAGTTTAGTGAAAGTACCAGACCAAGAGCCAAGGAAGAGACTGCATATGGCCAAATTCTTCCTCTTACAAAGCCAATACACTAGTATGCAGTCCAAACAAATTTGCACAAACATGTTGGTCTTGAATACCTCCCAAACAACAGAGCTCATTATAAAATACTAGAACCAAACAAACCCTACCCCCTTACCCTCTCCCAATCAAATTTAACATGTTATGAGAGTATTTCCAATAACCCTGCATTAGCACAGTAGTAATTTCAATTCTGTTCAAAGGTGTTGAAATAAAATAATGAAAAAACTTGCAAAATTCTAAACAAGGCAATTGAATACGATGCAAAACAATCCAATCAACTATTTCAACATGCTTGCCGCAGTTAAACTGGTTAAAAAGTAATGTAAATCAAAGATTTATTTCAAAAGAAAAAAAGCTTGTAAAACATAGGTTAACTGCAGAGCTTCTTGAAAGTCACTCTCATGCATTCAGAATTCCACTACAGTACAGTATGTATAACGTGAACATGGAGCACACACAGCTGAAGACTATTCCCTTAACTCTTAATCCCAAGATTGAAATAGCAACTCTCCTTACTGAGTGTCTTAAATTTTTTATCATAATACTTATGAGAATTTAGAGGTAAACAAAAACGCAATTTCTCTAACTGAAAGCACTGCCCTGCTGTAAGGAGAAATTAGTTGTTCAACATTCTTGGGAATTTAAGTGTTGACACGGTAATGTCAACTACATCTTCAAAATAAAAATCAGCTGAGGTGCGCAATTCTCAACCTATGGCGCAGATACCTGTTTTAACAAGCCATCGGTGCCTAGTTGACAAGAGCATTTTATGCAGAAACTTCAGTCCACCCCAACTGATATTTATTGCATCAGAGAAAGTTATTCCCTGTGTCACGCAAACCTTGAAAAGGAAACATTTACAGTCAAGTCCAGATAAGACTGCCTTGAACATAAATGTCAGTCCTTAGTTATTCATACAACATTTACTATACCTTAGCCTCTTCTAGTCTACCAAGAGCCTTCAACAAGTTTCCCAGATCGCTTCTCACACAGTATAGATCCTAGTGACATAAATTACATACATATAAACGTCAATATGATGACTAAAAGCAAAGTAACTTTTAATTGTTTAATACTTGATTTTCACAAGGCTGAACTAGAAAGAGGTATTGACGTTGTCCCACCCTTATTCCATTTTTTCCCTGTCAGTCTGACACATTTTTTTTAACCATTCATTTTACACTCCATTTTTTTCAATCTTTTTAAATCTTTTTTACCCTTCAATCTTTATTCTTAGCCATTTTTGCACATAATGATTGCTTGTAAAACTAAATTGAATGGATGAACCACTGGAATATTAATAAAATGCGGTCAAACGCATGTGAAGGCCAATAAAAATTGAAATTATGCCAAGCCATTGACAGACAGTCAATCTGTATCAAGGAAATATCAAGCAGGCGGTTCCTATCTCGTATTATTCAAGTACATGCCATTCATTTCGACCAAGCCAAATATTACTTTTTTAGATTTCTCTCACAGGCAAAAACCAGGCCAAATATAACCGAATCTACATGTACTTACTGAAATCGCAATGTGGGAGACTGTTTCCACTTATCATTCAAAGGGAAACAAAAACGCGATAAAAAAGAATTGACTTATTTCACATTTCACGCGTCAATCAGAAAGGTCTCAGAACATACTAGCATGGGAGGAATTTCATAATACCGTGGTACCAATTAGGAAATATTGTACACTGTGCTCGAAGCTGTCGAAACATATCCGTAGTGCATCAACGAGAAACACGTTTCTTCGCGACACAACTGACATTAGAATAAATTTGTTTGCACAAAACAATAGAGGCATCGAAGGTTAATGAACGAAAGAAAATTCAACTAGAAATCAATTTCACCACGAAAATCCGCGACAACAAACAAAGTAGAAACTGCGCACAAATCTGTTTTCTTGAGGAGTTGTGAAACACAGCTGAGAAAGCGACAGTTACAAACCTCCAGAGAGATTCGTATCTAAACATCGCGTCATTTAGTGCAAACAAACATGACGGGCAAAGTACGGATTACTCGCAAACTCGTACCGGGTTGTACTGCAGTGCCGTGGCATAAGCATTAACTGCCCCCTCTAAATCGCCAGCAGCTACTAATGCCGCAGCCAAGTTGATGTAGCCATCGATGAAATCCGGTTTTAACTTTACAGCATGGCGATAGTTGTCCAACGCGTCTTTCAGCTGACCTCGCTCTTTGAAGACATTGCCTAAGTTAGAGTAGGCCTCGGCAAGAACTGGGTTTTGTTTTATGGCTAGCGTACTAAAATGAGCCGATCTAGAAGAAAGAAAGAATGGAGTACATCACATTAAAGCATTTTTCGCCAAAACCTACGTCATAAAGACATGAAACACTTTTGGATTGCGAGCGCAAAACATTACAACAACAGAATATTGATCTGGTTTACCGGTCTAATCGACGGCATTGAAAGTGTATCGATGATAAAAGAAGTAAAACTCCGGTGTTCTCGGGTTGTTGTCTCCACAACTGCATACAGATTTGTTCGGCGCGATCATAGCTCCCTGCCTGGTATTCGCGATGAGCCAACTCCGCCAGAGTGGCTGTTGAAAGAGAGAGAGAGAATGGGTTATGGTCAGACAACAATGAACTTAGTTCACCAAACAACAAGTTCACGAAACGACATTTTCTAACCAGCATCGTCAAGAATGGTCGTTCCCATGACCATGACGATAAAAAGAGAGGCAGAGAAACACAAAAGTGTCCCCTTCGAGATTGAAATAAGAAAACGAGGGCATGAAGAAAGATGGCGTGTATTATTGTATGCATAAACGCGACGTCATGTGCGCACACGCAAAGGAAAGACTCACCGCCATAATGAAGCGCCTCTGGTTGAAATTTCATAATTTCGGTCCAAAGAAAGGTTTAAAACATTAAATTCCCATTCATCTCAGATGGTTAAGATTCAAATAACTGCCAACTGGCAATACTTCGCCAAATGACGCATCCTTGACAGGAACAAACTCGATAATTGCTGTGATCAATATCGAAATTCCTGCTACTCGTAATGCTCGTTCACCCGATGACGTAATTTTAAGTTTTGCTTGACAACCCACGTGGGTGACAGGTTGAAAGAAAAAGAGAAAATAGTTTTTCGTCATTCAAAAAGTGGGAATTTCGTGTCCAGAATCATGTCATATTGTGCCGTTGAAAGAACTAACTGAATCGGCTAATCTACATTCAAGGTTTAGATAACTTTTTTTCTTAAATTAATAATTCATTTGAGAAAATTGTGTGAAAATATCACGAAAGTTTCCGATCATAAATGCAAATTCTTTCAACAAACTTTTCATAGCAGAGCAATGTTTCCCACCTATTTTAAAACCATTTTTTAGGAAATTTGAATCTGAAGTCAAAACTTTTGTTTACTCCGGCTAAGAAAGTCTCCTTACTTCTTACAGCGAAGAAATTGTGTTTCTTAGATCGAAGTCGTGACAAACAAGACACCTTTATATGAGCACGGTCCGTGAATCCATTTTAGGAATTCTTCTTGTCTCAGCTGACATCTGGCCTTTTGACATCTTTGATATCACGTGTTCCATGTTTGATTGACATGGCCAATGAATAAAGAGCCAAGCGGTAGGAATCTGGAGCGGTTTTACTTTGTCAAGAGACCAGAGCGAACGGTTCATTGTCTGTTGTGCGGCGAATTTCTCTCAAGGTAACCACGTCAATCCTACGTTAGTTTGCACTGACAACGTGTTTCTTTCGAACTTCATTCATCCGTTTCTTATAAAGATATTTTTTCACAGCTCTAAGCGAAAATGAGTGACAAACCAGACGTGTCCGAGGTAACCAAGTTCGATAAAGGGAAGTTGAAGCACACCGAGACCCAGGAGAAAAATCCTCTCCCAACGAAAGAAAGTGAGTTGGCTGTACATAATTTTGGCTGTATTTTGTACATTTTCGTCCATCAGGGCTAGAAAATCTAACACGTAGTTGCAATTTCCTTACCAAGGGGTGTGTCGTGCAATTGAAGTCGAAAGAGACACGTTATTCAAATTCCGCAGTCATTATTTTCGAGGAGGTTTCGAGCTGCTTAGCACAGCGCGAGTCCTGTATAACTTCATTGCGGTTGGAAAGGCATTCTCATCCTAAAACTTCAGAAATCTTTCCTTCTGCAGTGTGTTTATGATATTTTCTGACACACCCTGTGTGTTCTTTCGTTTCAGCAATCGAGCAAGAGAAGAAAGGTTGACCCAGGAAATTATTTAAAACCCACTAGCAAGTTTGATGTTACTCAAGAATTTTGATGTCTTCATTTGTGTTTGCCTCTGCCTAGAAGAAGTTGTGCGTTTATAGAGAAATTAGATGGATAGCTGACTGTTTGTAAAGCCTCGGATCGTCGCATAATTATTTGAAGCAAAACCCACCTCGCTTTCCGATCTGCGGTTTACAATACAAGATGCTAATGTATTCGCTTACACTTTCGTTGGGTATAGACAAACATAATTGTAGTAAAATATTTTTGCACAATTTAAAAATAAACAGTTGAATATTGAACTTTTGAAACTCGTGGTTTTGAGTAGTTTAGTTGGCTTTGTAATAAATTTATTTATAATATTAAAAACGTGGGATTAAGAGCTTTTATAATCACCATTGCGTATTCTGGAATGTACAACTTAGCTTGCATGTACAATATCCCTATTATCCATCCATCCGATTTTTGTTATTGTGCAGAAAGTGGACGTTGTTTGTGCCTTTGACAAAATGGCAAGGATGCCCTCGAGGGACCATCAGAATTGAACAGTTCAATGCACATAATTTAATCTGACAGAACTGATTGTCTACGTTGCAGAAGTCTCTTTGATTATTCTTGTAACAGGAAAATGATGAAGAAACTATATGATACATGCCACACACTGGTGCCATTTTAGGAAATTTGGTTGAAATGATTTGAGGTGTAAAAAAAATATCTTGAGGAAATGACAGTATCATTTACATCAAAGCGGGTGGGTGAGTGCTAACAATATAATGCAGCTCTGGTAAAGCCTGAAATTTTAGGCCCTATTATCAAATGGGACCTTTTTCTGACTATCATGTCTTCCAGTAATGACAAAATAGAGGTTTGCACAGAATGAACAAAATGTGACTATTAGAATTGCCTTGAAATTTGTGTTATGATAATTTCTTGTGGGGGTTTTCATTAATTTTGGTGGTAGCAGGAGATTTTACAACAACTAAATATATGTTTTTTTTTTTCCTAGAAGAACTGGTAATATTACCTGAAATATAACAAATATCATGTCTGAGTATTACAAAATATTACAGGGCATTGTGCAAGCTAAAGATCCCATTCATAAATTAATGGCTGCCAAGTTAAAATTCCTTTGTATACATTAAAATAAGCCTCACTAAACAAGTTGAGAGTAAAAATTTTTTTGAATTATCAACTTGAAAACGAGGTTAGAAGGGTAAATTTGAATACTTAAAAGGAATTTACTATTGGCAGCCATTTATGAATAGAGTCTATAACTCTTAGTACATGCAATTAATACTATTCTTTAACTGTGGTTAGAGGTTCAATGTAGTTTTAAAAAAATAACAGTAATACATGGTATTACATAATAATACAAATTCCATAGTAATTTTGTTAAGAATAAATTTTAAGCTAGCAGTTCATTCACATAGATGGTGCTGCTTTGGTATCCAAGTGTTAATTCATCCAAAAGGGTGAACCTCTAAGATTCCTCCGTGATGGAGCTTCTGCACTCTCAGGGTGCAGGGAGATTTAAAAAGTTTATTTTAAAAGCAACTTATTTCCTTCCTGGGCTTAAAAAGTTTTTTGCATAGGGTAGCCAAATAAGGGACTTACAACTTTTGCGAGCTCTCAGTGGCGGGTCTAGGGGAGGGGGCCCAGGTCCCCTCCTTATTTTGGGTGAAAAAAGAAGAAATGACAGAAGGAAGAAAAGCCGGCAGGGCAAGTAAATCAAAACCGACCCCC